CTCTCAGTTGGTTCCAAAGTTCCTTATCTAAGAATAACAAAATATTTTTGAACGGAATATATTTCAGAGAGGAAAATTCACGAAAATATCTTCTTATTAAACCCTACAATTCTTATGACGCATATTACATTTTTGCGGATGTGTCGAACACTTGGAAATACTTGCATCAGATACATTTTTTATTATATCAACAAGTTGCAAACATTTTTCTCGATTTTCATTTCTTTTTTCAATGGATCGTCTGTTCCTCCGATCTTCGTCTGTACATTTTGTCTTGGTACACAAACATCGTTTGGTTGAAGGACGAAATCTGCACATAAAAAATAAGTAAAAACATTATAATGGGCCACGACTTTCCATTAAATACCCTATTCTACTCTACAAATGTTCATATAACGACTTCTCAAAAGATGGCCTTACATATGGAGCGGTAGGATCCGATCTGAACCATCTTTAATGGTGTTCGTTCTTAGGCCAAAACCATAATTCCCTACACCTTACTTCGTCAAAATATTGCAAAAACCGCAAGCTGCATATTGAACATGAGAAAAAAAGACGGACAGACAAACTAAAAATCACTCGCTGAATCGACTGGATTAATAAAAGGTAAGCCAATCGCGAATCCTTCTGGACGTTGCATACATCCGCGCAAATTTAATATGACCTTGCACGACAAATGAAGTAGCATATGGAAAACCAAACCAAAATACAATTTTTAAGTTTTCTCGCTAAAAATCAAAATCTGATAGCCTCGGGTGCTAGTGCGTTAACACTTTCGTCTTCGAATTTATTTGTCTGACCAGTTTAATTATAATAGCAATAGTAATAATCGGGAACTCTAGATCAAAGTTGACCGTTTGGATGAAATTGGACCGCATCTTAAGCTTTCTACCATATAAGCTTTCTAACAAAAAATAGCTCATCATAGGGCATCCAAATGTACTTTTTTAAGTGCTTTGACTATGGCGGCCTTATTTTTCGGAACTCTTTATGATAAATGAATCTTCGTATGGCAACAAGGGTTCATTTCATTTTTGATAAATGCAATGGTATAGAGTACTTATAACGATTCATCTTGCCTGGCTATAACGCTTTCATTTTCTTTCAATTATTTTCGATTTTATTTAGATATAGCCATTTAGGTCTTCGTAGGTAATCGGAGAACAACTTTTCTGCAACACACATATAGCTCAAATTTACTTTCAAGTTTCCAGTTTTCTTCAAGTTTAAAGGTTTCGAAATTAAACATAAATATAAACATTTTTCGCAAATTTAAAAATTCCCACGAATAACATAAATAACACATTCGCCTAAACTAAACTATTTTCTTTTTATCCATTATATGTTGCAGCGTAACTTTTCTCGTGTTTGGTTAAGTGTAGGAATTTTACTTATCAGTTCGCGTAGAATATAAGAGGACTGCTTTCAACAGATTTCATCTGTTATTCGCGATATGCGCAGTGAATAAAGCGCATTGAAGACATTGCGTTTGATACAAGTTCCAGAAAGATAGCCACGCATCATAAAAACTTATGCGAGACCTTGTGGAATAAGGTTGTAAACGTTTAAATGACCTAAAGGTGGTTTGCCAAATTTGATTCTGGAATTTTGGATATTTTGCGACGCACCACATATCTTTAAATTAAAAATTGTTGTGTAAAATACGACAAAACTTTCTTGCCAATCTAACATATATAATATCAGGTGATAATAAGCTCGGAAGCAACGATCCCGGTCTAAAATCTGTGTGTTGTGGATGGAAGAAGGAAAGGAATGTATCTTCTCCAAGGCGGAAATTCCACAGGATTTGAAGACGGTCGCTTTATCGGAAATGATTGTAGAAACATAATTTCTAATTTTCCTTCAAAGTGATACAAAATCGAAAACAATTATCATATGAAATACATACAGCGTACGGCAACACGCTGTTATAGCATGTCTCATGATCTGGTGCTCAAGGAGTAACGCCGAAAAATTCACGTCGCGGGCCACTGGATAAAGCAGGATTAACGGGCAACAGTACTGTAAGTAACATCACACAGACGTGACAAAGCAGCCACAAGCATTTTTCGGTTGTTTTTGTTGAATTAACAAAATTTTTTTTATAGCGGATTTGATATTAGAGACTTTTATTAATGTTGGCATAAAGCCACGAAATCTGTGACAACAAAACGCAATGAGGTCAATTTAAGGTTCTCGTTATCGAGCTACCTTACGGTGCGAAAGAACAACATAATACGACTGCATATGGCGTTAATGGTACGCGATTGATTTCGTATCAAGATGGGATTCTCGCTCGGGTGCAATTTACAACGCAATATTTATGATATTATGAGTGTATGTGTAATAAAATAATGCAAAAAAGAGGAAGATAAAATTTGAAAAAGAAATTTATGGCAAAATTTAATGAACTGAACACATCGCTGTTTATGTATGTAAATGGTTTACATCATCATTTGTAAGTAGCCAGCTTGATGTTCATAATTTCCGTATTAAACTTGTCCGTCTGTACTCTGCCTAAACGGAACCTAAATATTACACTGCCAGAATAGTTTTGAATAGTTTATAGCGATCCTTTATTTACATTTTTTTGTCCAAGAATTTTTATGCATATCACCGAAAGATGGGTTTGAACCCTTTGCAACGACGGAAGGAAGTTTCAGACGTGCCACACACTACATATATTCTTGATCAGCATCAAATTCTGAACTGATTTAAGCATGTCCGTCTGTCCGTCTGTGCAATGTCTATTATAAGCACTCGTCCGTTAGGGAAAATGAAGTTATCAACTTCAAATTTGACATAAACATTGGAAGTTGTTCCACGCCACGCAGGTTCATATTGAAAATGGGCCCAAATTGGTCGAAAGACATGCATGCTGTAACACGTAAACCGAGAACGGGTCTGGTTTTCAAATGGAATAAAAAATTGTTTTTTTGATCCCCCATACCCATAAGGGGATAGAGACACAAAAATTTGAATGCATAAAAAACGGTAAAAATTGACTACGCCTTATCAATATTATAATTTATCAAAATTTCACTTAATTTAGTTTTTCTTTTGGAAAATCCCATGAAGTATACAAATACATAGCCAGTTTCAAAGTCGGAATGCATCAAAGCGGGTTCGTCTGTCCATCCGCCCGTCGGTCAAACTGAAGTGCGAAAAAAAAGATACCGCCTACAAATTTGTAAAACAAATTGGAAGTGACCGAAACTTTTCAAAGGACACGCCTGCAACGCCTACACGCCTACTCAACAAAAACCACCATTTTGAAAATAAAAAAATCAGTCACGCCCACTCTCTATTATAGAGCATAAAAATTTAACTCTTTTACTTTTTTTTGTCTTTTTTAGGATAATATTATTGACGGGTATAAAAGACCCGGTCACGAACCATTCTAATTTTCTTAACTGTTTTCGCGTCTATATTCTGTGTTCGCGTACCCATTTTCATATTTTCTGGCACCAAGTGGGAAAAGCACCGAAAATAATTATTTAATTTTACTACTCTTGCAAACGTTTCTGGGAATTTCTGGGATTAAGTAATCTTGTGCATATGCATTAATTTTATGGAATGTGTACTTTTTATTTTCTGTTTGAACAAGAAGCTCGATAGCTATTTTACTTTCGAGCTAAGATGTGACGTCTTATGTTCGAGTGAATACTCGAGTACTATCTCATGTACTGACTCATCTATCTCCATCATCGAGTTTGCGACAAACTGTTTTCTCCCAGCACCCAAATGCAATGGTAAGTCTTAACAGGAAACTCTGTGTCTATAAGCGCCGATTGTAGCCCTTAACTGACCGTTAGTGTCAACAATGTAAAATAAGTTTTTCCACATGATGCGATTTTTAAATAAAGCTTTATGGACCGTATTCGTAGAACAAAATGATTGAGAGAGAAAGCAAAAGTCGGGATTAATTTAATTGTTATTCAAAACACAATCTTTCAGATTTTTAAACATTTGAGATCAAGTTCTGTTTTTTTTTTTTTTTAAATAAAAATTTAACCGAAATATTTTACATTTATGAACATATGTTGGAATATTAAAAATGTTTTTAGACACACAATTCCATTCAGAATATTTTAATTACTTCAGACTCTTGGTTGCACTTTTTTTTGTTGTCCTCCAACCGAACGTAACGTATTTTTATTTATTGGTTTTGTTTTTTTTTTTTGTTTTTTTTTTTTCTTGTTTTTTTACTTTTCAGCCATAAAATAGATGCCAAAATTGCTTATATTTTTTACTAGTTAATTATTAATAGTTTTAAATAGTTGATGTCATAAAGCAGAGGATTCCTCTGCTGCAGCAGAACTGGTATTGGCAGCGGTAGCGGCAGCAGCAGCAGCTGCTGCGAAAGAGCTCAATGCATGAGAGGCATTTTTAGTATCATCTGGAAATGTGAATAATAATTGAAATATTTAAGAAGAAGACCTTTATTTAATTAATAAAAATAGAAAAACACAATATTTAATAAATTTTAAAAAAAAAAAAAAAAAAAAAAAGAGGCGAAATAATTATAAGTAAAAGAAAGAACGCAAATTATAGAATATTTTTCTTTAACATAAAATTATTTATTATTAAAGCATCGTTTTATACATTATCATAAAATTAAATGTTTACACAAATACATATGTAATTACTGTACGAATTAAAATTGAAATTAAATGAAAATTAATTTAAAAAAAAAAAATTTAAAAAAACAAAATTAATTAGAAACACACATACTTAACATTTTAATTTTAAATTTATTCAATATAAAATAAAATCAAATAGAAATACAAATAAATTTTGGAAATGACTAAAAAACAAATTTAGGTTTCTCAAATTATTGAAGACATTTATAAGAGGAACAAAGTTCCCATATAAATTAAACACAATTAGACGAACTGAAAGATGAAATTTCATTTATATATATTCGGCTCTTTTCTTTAACTCTATAAAATAGAATTTTTTTTTTTTTTTACTAAACTCAAGAAAAAATTTACATTTTGTCGTATAATATAGAAAGTGGAAATGATAATTCATAAAAAAAGCAAAATATTTAATAGTTTTAAAGACACATTGGCTTCATTTTTTTAAATAAAAAAAGTAAAAAAAAAAAAAAAATGTTTTCAGCAACAGCAGCAACTGGGTTAGTTAAGAATTATCATAAGTCCTAAGAATAATGATAGAAATGTTGATTAAATGACTCGTCTGAAAACCCGTATTTATGGTGAAAGCATAACGTATCCATATAAAGACTTGTAACGTCGGCACTCTATTTCTAACACCGCAGCATTATATACTTAAAAACTGTACCTTACTCTCTACACATGCCGATCTCATTATTTCGTCTTCTTCTCAAATTAAAAGAAAAATGCGCCTAAAGATGACGCTTGTGGTGGTATCGTTATTTGACTTGTAATTGAATTTTTGGTAATATTCGTTTTTTATGTTGCATCGATTACGATGACAGTAAGAACACGATCACCTGCTGCTCACTTTAGTTGGTATAGTGGTGGCAGTGCTGGCGGTGTTAGCTGTAGAGGGTGTAACACTTGTTACAATTGCATCGTCTGGGAAATTTGTTTGCGGCGAAGCATTCGCTGCATTTGTGCTACTACTTACAACGGGTGGCGAAGTGTTACCACTAGTAGTAGAGGTGACGCCCGTCACCGAAATTGTATCCGGTGAACATTGGCTAGCCACTACCGTGTTACTAGCGGCACCACTTTCGTTATTTGCCGCCGTTAATGTAGTATTGATTATTACTGGTGCAAGTGGTGCTGGCGTTGGTGGTGTTGCTGTCGTTAAGGGCGCAGTCAAGTATGGTTGGTTCATTTGAGTTTTGTTCAGCGTATTAATTGAGTTTGATTGCGTTTGCTGTTGTTGTTGAGAATTTTTATTATTATTTTCGATATTTACAGGAGTTGTTGATTTAGGAGATCGAGTGCGCGACTGTGGTTGCTGCTGTTGCTGATGATGCAAATGAACCTCTGCGTTTATGGTATTAGTTTTTGTTGTTAAGCCTATTTCTGGATTTTGTGATTGCTCTAATTGTGTAATTAAATGTTTACCTGGGCCTGGACTAACGTTACTATTACTATTACGATTAACTGCGGTTGATGTCACTGTTCCTCCTCCCCCACCCCCAGTTGAATGGGAGATTGTGTCGGCATTTAGTTGACCACCTCCGATAGGGCTACTCCGCTGTTGTTGTGTTTGGGCTGCCTCTGGTGATCTATTAACTATCCCCGTTGTGGGAGTAGCAGCCGTAGTTGTTGGTGAATTAGTTGGCGGTGGTTTTTTATCGTTCATGGGCGAGCCTGATTTCCTAAGATCTTCCGTTTGCTCTTTACAATTATCCTCTCTGCTACCGCTGCTGCTGTCGATACCGTTTACCTCATTTGTCGTAGCCGCACCACTTAGTCGTATCGATTCAGCGTTGCTTACCGTTGAAGGAGCATGATTGCTGGAATTGGAATTAGATCCCGTTAAGTCCAATGTGGTGGGTTCATGCGTTTGGGGTGCTATGCCTGTTGTAGACGGCTTGTCATTCCCAGTAACTTGTGGCACCACATTTACGATGTGATGACGCATGGCGTGAGGGCTGGGGACAGCACGATTATTGCTGCTATTATTACTTCCACTGTTACTGCTGTTTTGCGCATTCGTCGATGTTACTGAAGCTTGTGTGGTCAATTTCCCAGATGCAGTCGAATAAGAGTTGAGATTTACATTGTTGGTGAGAGGCAAAGGGGGTAAAGTTGAGCCTCCCGGTTGTGTGACTGACGGTGGTAGATTCCCGGCTGCAGCGGCCGCATGCAAAGCTGCTAAGTGACTTGGGTGATGGGCGTAATACAGTGAACTACTCATTGAGGGTATGTGCGAAGATAATGTTGGAGTTGAAGAGTGTGAACTGCTAACTACAACAGTTGGTGCAGAAGGAACCGATGATGTAACATTCGTGCTAGGCTCTGACAGTCTCACTTGGGCAGAACTATTGGAATTGCTTAGGTTTAAACTGGTGTGGAGTGAAGTAGTAGCCGCAGTTGTATGAACAGTCGATGTTGATTGAGGTGGTAACTGATGAGTTGAAGTTATGGCTGGATGATGAGGCGAAATGTGTGGATGACCAAGACCAAGACTATGGTGAGCCAGACCTAAAGCTGCTGCTGAGAAACCTGGATGAGTCAGTCCTGCTGCCGCTGCAGCAGCAGGATGAGTCAAGCCTAACGCAGCTTGTTGCAAGTGGTGTGGCATATTTGGCGGAACATGCGGAAGAGTTGGCACACCAGCAAGGCCCGGTAAGCCTAAATTCAAACCCATCGCTCCATGCGGACTTTGCCTTTGGTTGGCTGCTGCGTGATAAGGCGAAATCCCCGATAAACCATGGAGAGGATTTGGGGGAGCACGTAAGCCCAAGTTTAGATGCGGTATCATTGAGCCTAACAAATTACGATTCAGTGGATTGTAAAGAGGGTTCGAGTAGTGGTGAGAAGACAGCAGTTGCTGCCTATCTCTTTCTCGAGCCTCTTTTTCCCTTTCACGCATCTCACGTTCCCTAGCTTCCTTTTCTTTTTGCTCTTTCTCACGTTGCTCTTTCTCTCGCTGTTCGCGTTCCCTTTGTTCTTTTTCTCGTTGTTCACGTTCACGCTGCTCGCGTAATTCTCGCTCTTTTTCACGTTGCAACTCCCTTTCACGTTCCTCTTCGCGGGCTAAACGCGCTCTATGCTCTTCTTCTAATTTAATACGTTCATGTAAGCCAGGTGCTAATCCCAAAGCGGCTCCCGGTAACATTGAATACAAATGTGAAGCATACGGGGAAGCCATAGGCGGGTACAAGGCATGCGGATGCGAAGCATGAGCTCCGGCAGCTCTTAATAACTGAAAACGCTGATCCAAGTACATTTGATCACTATAGGGTAAGCTAGCTGGATTTAAAAAGGTGCCTGCAAAAAGGAATATGTAATTAAACAATCATGACAACAGTAATTTTTCTCATATATTTCTCTCACCTGGTGGCATGCCTGGCAAGCCTGCAAATGGCGAATAAGCCTCTAATGGAAAAGGGCCAGCCGGATGCAAAAGTCGCTCATCAGATCGATAGGGTTGAAAACCACTACGCGCTAAGAGTTCTGGCTGTATTGTGGAATTCTGGACCGGATTAAGTCTTGGTATCTTTTCGGCGGGCTGCGGCGAAGGGGCCGATCTCTTTTTAGCCGCAGAAGAGCGATCGTCTGAATTGGAAGCTGCTACAGCTAAAGATGATGATGTCCCTAAGCGCTCATTTGCTAAAGGCGTACGAGACTGTTGAGAATTCGCTGTTATGGAAACGCCACCTGCCGTGGACGTTCCTATTGAAGGTGTAGCCACAATATTAGTTCCTACTACTGGTCGTTCATTTCTGTCGCGTGCAGATACCTCTTCCTCTTCTTTAATGTCAGCTTGTTTAGCTAAATTGCGCAAAGCCGAAGCAAATGGGCCTCTAGCACTAGTCGTAGCTGCATTTAAAGCGCCCGACACTCCTACCAATTGCTGTTGCACCTGAGCGGCAGCAGCTGCCGCAGCTACTGCTTGCTGATGATTTTGATGTTGTTGATGCTGCTGAACCAACGACGGCGAATGTGTGCCCAAATGATTGGGAGGCAGACTATGATTAAGTAAAGCTGAATTGGGATTATTTGGAGATGGATTCTGCACAGCATTACCGGAATTCCCGCCACCGGTTGTAGTAGTAGAAGGCGATTGCAAATGATGCGAAGATTGTACCACAGGAGCTGGACTAGTGGCTGGGCGTTTCTGACCCGGTTTGGGAGGTACTGAGAGAGAACGAAAAGAGAAAAAATTGATTGAGGTAAAGTTAATTAAATGGCACGTCCTCGAAACTTCATAGTTTAAATTTAGGAACAAGAAAACCAAAAATATCTCCTCCTCCCCTTGAAGGATGGTAGGTGCTTGAGAAATACGTTATCGGGTGCTGATCATTTCAATTTATTTCAGAACACAGATTGAATTTAAAAGATCACTGCTCCGTCTGTACTCTATGTAGCGAAAACGAGGATTTGGACTCAAATCAGTACGCGCACATATCTCAGGATTATGCCAAGCTTTAATAAAGGATGTGTACTATTTCCGTAAAAAAAATTGCAACTTTGAACAAAGTTAACATGAAAACTTTGTTTTTGAAATTGTCGATACTTTTAAGTTAATCAGTTTTACTGATTTTCATTAAAATACCTTTCTAGTCAAAATTTGGTAGTTGTTAACAAAATTTTCTGCTTTTCGTAATAATTGAAGGCAGAATTATAACAAAATGTAAAGGATATTGAAAATGCAAATATGTTACAAGCCCACAATACGCACACACACTAGCCCTCAACATTTTTCGAGCGACTGCATGAGAAACACCTACAATCTGCTGAGTAGCTGCTGCAGGCGGCAAGAGTTTTGCATAAAAATTTAACAACACAAAAAACATTCGCTTACAACACGGTCAACAACAACTCATCAACAATCCTATACGTGTAAGAGTAGTTTACAGCTTCTCCGTAGTAACGTAGGTGTATACTGTAGTGTAGAGATGTACGCAAGCAAGTGTAAGTTTTATTTACAATATGTGCTATAGTCTCGAACACAGTTATAAAAACAAAAACAACAACCACAATTTTCATTGCATGCCCACAGTATATTGTAGAATTGTTAGGGAGCAACTGCAACAACCGCACTATGTTCTATTATGATTTTACAGCTCATGCATTAATGATTGGTGGGTCTGTTGTGGTTGCGGACAGTGAGCTATCTACATACGCACAATGACATATATATGTGTCCAATATACATATATATATATATGTGTCCAATTCTCATAGGATTGTAATGGCCCTTGTCCAGTAATGTATGTAATACAACAAATTGACACTGAAAGAGAATGAGAAGGGTGGTGACTTCTTTGTTATTGCGTAGAATGTTTGAAAACCGCATAAGCCAAATTCTAAGCAATAGAACTCGAACCATTCAACCATGCAATTCATACTTAAATTATCAATATGTGGCTATCATAGAAGTGGAAATATGAGAGTAAAACGAATATCTACATGTGAAAGTAACTTAGAGGGTGGATACAGAAAACAGAAAAAAAAAAAAACAAATAGTCAGGAGCTCAGCAATCCTTAATTACCCTACAGACTTTTTCCGTCATAAGATATCAAAAATTAAACTTTATTGCTTTCTTTGTTGGTGTCTGAAAAATCGACTAATATGGTTTAAGTTTTATTTATTTGTTTATATATTTTTTATATATTTTGTAAATAAATTTATAAAGTATGAATATAGAGGATGCCGGATAACTTAAGAGAATACGCTCCCATGTATTGAAAACTCTACAACAGTTGAGATTGGAACTACCGACCATTGAGCTATTAGTCGCAATCCAATGGTTTAAATTTATCACAACAAAATCGTAAAATGCTAATCATTAGACCGTGTCTTATAAGGGCTTACTTTTCATAAGAATTCTTATAGGGGATACGGTTCACAAAATATAGTCCGAATTTAGCGCAGTAAACTTTAATGTCGAACGCCTATTCTGCACTACATTTTTTGTTGTAAAGCACCAATAAAGCGGACTCCAGGTCTCACAAAAGACACTTCTTTTTTTCGTAGGAATATTTATATGAGGGGAGAGGATTCAAAGAATGACCCCATTCGATCCAAATTTTTGTCATTTACTTAATATCCCGAAATACTATTTTTCACCAAATTTTGCGGAGAAATAATAAAAATGCCATCTTTTTTCGTATAAGAGCATATCATGCAAATGCGTAACAAATTTCTTTAAATTCCCTCGAAAATGAGGACGTGTATGCTTAGCATGAAATTTAAAAATAATAAGTGTTAAAGGGGCAAAGATTAGGCCCCTTCCAAAACATGTCCATGTTCCAAATTTGGTTCAATTATCTCGAAAATTTCTATCTTTACACTTAACATTAAAATATCTGCATGGAGATCAAAGGGACTGTCACGTTTAAGTCGGCGATTGTTTTAGTAATCTATTCATTCTAATGTTCTGTTTCAGACGCCCATAAAAACTTGATATATCTTGATGCCAGATATCAACAAAAAGAGTCAAATTATACAGTGAGTGATATGCAAAAAAGTTTCCAATTATCGACTCACGCACTCACTTTATTTGTAAGCTTAGATCACATAAGCTTAGATCACATACAGAAAGAATCTTTGCTTAGAGAGCAACTTTAGGGATATTTTATTCGAAATAAAAATGCTACAATTTTTAGGGTCTAAAGCTAAAGCTTGGCAGTCCATCAAAAAGAATTCGCTTACATCGAACAAAAACTGCTGCAATTGAAAAGTTGCTTCAAAAGTGAATTTAAATAAATATTTTTTATACACATAAAGCCTATACAAAAATCTAATCTACTATGCCGGCGATTTTCTTCTTTTTTTTTTTTTTTTGATGTAACTAATTATTCAGGGGATGTTACCTACCCGCGTAACATGAGATGCTTAGAAAGAAGTGAGGTAGTCAGAAGAGATGAGAAGGAAGAAGAAGGGGAAGAAATAGAGAGATAGCCTCTAGTGCCTAGTGTATAGTGTATGTGTGCCCAATCGATAAGTGTTTTGTCTTTACTGACTAAGCACCCACCTACAGCTGCCTATAGCCTTAATATGGCTGCGATTTAAACTTGCGTACATTTATGATTCAATTAGCGACTTTTATCTACTATACCATGTGGCAATATTCAATTTGCATTTGAAAGAAGAGTCTAGCTTTCAACTTCCAATGTGACTTACTTTTAGCTGCAATTTTCCTTAAGCACATTAACGACAAGTCAAATATTAAACAAAAAAAAAAAAATTTCTTTTTTAAGACATCTTTACAAAGAATAGGTCTTGATAGGATTATATGCAATGAATTTTTGAAGGCTGATAGGACAAGAAGAGATTTTCATGATAGTGCAATAAAGCTAAAAACTTTTTCAACTACCTGCGTTGAAAGTACACCATGTGCATTTTGTCAGACGGCTGGGAAGGGAGACTGTGTTTCTATGTACCCATAATCAATATACAATTTTCCCAACTAATCATCTAAGGACAGTAGGTAAATTTATAATGTAATAAAATTGGTTATTTAGCGTAAATTGATTTCATGAATTATTCCGGTAATGACGAGCAATGTTAGAAATGGAAGCGCTTCGGTGGTTCTTCCCTTCCCTTTGCCAGTTAGTTCAATTATATATAAATATCTTTGCATTTTAATAGCACGTTGCATGCGTGTAGTATATGAATGATATACATATTTATGAGATATGGATAAGTGTATTTATGTTTATCGGCATAACTGTGTCGATTCTCAAAATATTATAAATTGTTGCGATATTGCTTTGTAATTGCATTAAATTAATTAAAACTATTGAATATGCACCAATGTACTTGTACATACATATACACGCATATATATTCGCATATAACTATATATATATATATATATATGTATATATACCTATGTATGGATACATGCACATGAGAAGTGATTGGATTCTATCGACCCTTAAATGCAATTGCATTAACCAAACATATAAATTTATGAATTATGCATACATTATGGATTACATAAATGCAACGAAGCATCTATTAACATAGATTTTCATACTACAAATTAAACTTATTTCAATATAAATATAAATAATTCTTCAACTCATTACTAGTAAAGCGGAAAGTATGATAAATTTAGTTTTTTTTTTATCATTTCATTTATTATTGCAGAGGTAGGAAGTGTAAGTGTAGCAAAATGTGTTAACTTTACACATGTACTTTTAAGATCATCCAAATTTTCATGAAATAATGAAAACTCGTTAGAGAAAAAACAATTCAAGGCAACGAGTGTTGGAAATTCGTTTTAAACCGTACATGAAATGTTTTGGCTCTTTTTGAGGTTAAAATATAATTTGAAGTAAAGCAAAATTCATAAATGATCAAATGCTCTTTTACGTATATAGTCATGTACACATACACACCCATTCATATATGCCATATATGTGTATACCCATGCTCGTTATATTTGTTCAATAAGCATAAGCAATTGTTGTTACCAACTTATGGACATATAAAAGCATACATACACACTTATATATGCCATTTTTAATTACATAGTAACACATGTTAGATAAACCTATGCTGTGCTATATGACAGCGTCAGATCTACATGTTTGAGAAAATGTTACTACCGACCACCCCTGAATATACGTAAATGTGTGATTGGAGCATAGAGAGCTTCAAATAATTATTCAAAACACATATTTATAATTAACATTTCAGGGATAATACCGTAGTAATCTTTTAATAGTTATTTGAAAAATGATTTTTTTTTTTTTTTTTTTTTTTTGGTGATTACAGGATTTTAGTGACCAAAGTTGATCTCGAGAATCATTCTTTTCTAGTACTCACTAAATGGATTTAAATATGAAATTCGAACCACACTCCATCGCCACCCTCCCCACCGCTTCTTTCAGCTGATTTCAAATAATTTCGTTATATGCAAGTGAATATAAAATTGAATAAAATTCAAGGCGGCCCTTGTAATGTAAAGCGTCCCTCAAAGATTTTCATAGATTTGCCTCTAAATCTCGAAAATCTTGCATAAGGGTATTATTGACGAAAAATTTAAGACTAAACCTAAAGATCTCAACAATAAGCTTTGTACTGGAAATTCATGGTGGATGGAGTTCATACCGGAGGCACCAATCTAGTTCGTTTTCCACGTTAAACCACTAAAAGTGATAAGAAAATAATGAAAATACAT